AGGCGGCGCGAGGCCTTAGGCGACCGCCTAACTCGCCTAATTAGAGAGCCGCCTCTGCACATGTGTTTACTTCTGATGAAGAGTCCCAATCTGATATTGTGGTAGACTCTAATGATGTGCCATGTACACACAGTGGAGAACAGGGCGATGACAGTGATTGGCTTACAGTTCCATTGATGTCTCCTATAAGGATCCCATCACGTGTTGTTATTTGAGGCCTTCCTCAGAGAAGAAGTCTGCACCCTACTTCTGCTTTTAAAGCAAGGCCCCAAGACTTTATGCCTACAGATCCAGGCATGGGTGGATCACCAATTGAACAAGCCACCACGGGGAAAATGTAGTGATGACATTTGTCTCTGCTTGTTTATTTCCTAAGCGTATCTAAGTGACCCACTGCCTGATGTCAGTCACAGAGGAGAGGACCTGAGAGAGAACTTTCTCTCTCAGGTCCGCTCCTCTGCTGATTGACAGAAGGCAGTGGGCGGCGCAATAGCCAGCCTGCTATTGGCTAATGAGATTTAAAATAGCCAATAGCAGAATGACTATTGCTCCGGCAGAAGAGCGGACCTGAGAGAGGAAGTTATCTTTCAGGTCCGCTCCTCTGTGATCTTCTCTCGTTATATATATCGGAGGAGATCGATCATTGAAGGAAGATACTCTGTGATTTTCTTAGAGGCATTAGTTCCCAAATCGCAGTATATCATACAGATTTATATGAACATTAATCTGCATTTGAGCACTGTTTGATTTATTGGACACTTATCAAGTCTCATAAGAGACTTACACTGTGAACTTTATCACCTTGGATTTAAAATTATTTATTGGAGGTTGATGATATTTGTTTTCAGCATTTAGACACACTTTTTGCTTGATATATTGTTAAGAGGTTCAGCGCGGTGCATTGTTTTAAGAATTTTAAGAAACAAATCGCACATGTCTATCATCTATACTAGGGATGCACGGATACCGCTATTTTGGTACCGAGTACAAGTACTGATATTTTTGTTTCTGTACTCGCCGATACCAAATACCGAGTATTGGACGTCCCATTCAGGAAGCGTGTAAAGACTCGTCACCCGGCTTCCCGATTAACAAGGAAGCCGACCCATGCTTCTCTTCACTATGTGACGAGAAAGCATGGAGCCGGCTTGCTGACCAATCATGGAAGCCGGCGGCCGTGTAATGACGCGGCGCCCTGCTCCCAGACTGGACGAGAATCCGGCTCCATGCTCCCTTGTCTGCGTCATTACACGGCGCCCAGCGTCCTGATTGGCCAGCTTCCCGACCAATCAGAAAGCCGGGTAGCGCGTCATTACATGCTGCCCGGCTTCCTGATTGGCCGACAAGGGAGCATGTAGCTGGCTTCCTGGCCAATTAGGAAGCCAGGCAGCGTGTAATGACACGCTGCACGGCTTCCTGACACATGAAGTATCGGGCTAGGCATCGGAGCGAGTGCTCGCCCAAATACTCGGTATCGGCACTGATATCGATACTAGTATCGGTGCATCCCTAATCTTTACCTTTTTGTTTAGCTGGTCATTCTTTTGCCCGTTTGTTGCGATTAATTTTTTTTTTTGTGCTGCTATTTGACCTTACCTCAGTCTGCACCTGTTTAGTTGCACCGGGTGACCCCCATCATGTTTGGGGGTGTATACAGTATATGTTGGCCTATTCATTTGTCTCATTGCCTTGATAAGGATTGACTGCAATCCATCGAAGCGTCAGACGGAATAAACTCTAAGCCAACAATAACAGATGATTTGTGAAGACGAGTCTGTGTTGCTCAGAGGTCCCTTGTGACTTCCCCGTCTGCCGCACCGTGACTCCCTTTGGATAAATATTTTTAAGTCCGCCGTCTCTCAAGTCTTCATGTTGAAAGTCAGAAGGGATTTTCTGTTCTCGCCGGCGTTTGGTCCCTGAAGGAATACTCGGCAAAGTATAATTAACGCCAGCTGAACTTTTCTATTTGTGTCCTTTGATTTCTTAGAATGCAACTCAATCTATTGCTTTTACGTGAAGAACTTCGGCCCAAACTCTTGTCAGTCTGTTGTCAGGTCCATCGAAATCGAAAAATGGCTCATGGGAGCAAGGGACAAATTGTGTGGGGTTGAGGTTTGGATGGTCAAGGTGCTGTTGGCCTCCATCTCCTTCAGTCTAGTGCCGTCTTTGATGCTACAGCGCCATAGGGTGCCTTCTGGCTTCTTTGGGGGGTGCCTCGCAATTTACGCACAGCATCATGCCATATCCATGGTGGAGATAGGCAAGCCACCAGAACCATGAAAAATAAATGACGCTAGTCCAGGGAAGGTGGGTTCACCTCTGTCCAGGCCTGCTCCGCCTCCTGCCCTCTGATGACATACTGTGAAGGGAGGACTGAGAACGCTGATCTAAAGGGGGAACCAAGGACAATGGTGTGAAGGGGGGGCGAGGACAATGGTGTGAAAGGAGGACCCTGATGGGAAGGGAAGACTGGGGACTCTGATGGGAAGGGAAGACTGGGGACTCTGATGGGAAGACTGGGGACTCTGATGGGAAGGGAAGACTGGGGACTCTGATGGGAAGGGAAGACTGGGGACTCTGATGGGAAGGGAGGACTGGGGACTCTGATGGGAAGGGAGGACTGAGGACTCTGATGGGAAGGGAGGACTGAGGACTCTGATGGGAAGGGAGGACTGAGGACTCTGATGGGAAGGGAGGACTGAGGACTCTGATGGGAAGGGAGGACTGAGGACTCTGATGGGAAGGGAGGACTGAGGACTCTGATGGGAAGGGAGGACTGAGGACTCTGATGGGAAGGGAGGACTGAGGACTCTGATGGGAAGGGAGGACTGAGGACTCTGATGGGAAGGGAGGACTGAGGACTCTGATGGGAAGGGAGGACTGAGGACCCTGATGGGAAGGGAAGACTGAGGACCCTGATGGGAAGGGAAGACTGAGGACCCTGATGGGAAGGGAAGACTGAGGACCCTGATGGGAAGGGAAGACTGAGGACCCTGATGTGAAGGGAAGACTGAGGACCCTGATGTGAAGGGAAGACTGAGGACTCTGATGTGAATGGAGGTCTGAGGAATCTGATGGGAAGGGAAGAGTGAGGACCCTGGTGGGAAGGGAAGACTGAGGACCCTGATGGGAAGGGAAGACTGAGGACCCTGATGAGAAGGGAAGACTGAGGACCCTGATGGGAAGGGAAGACTGAGGACCCTGATGTGAAGGGAAGACTGGGGACTCTGATGTGAAGGGAGGTCTGAGGAATCTGATGGGAAGGGAAGACTGAGGACTCTGATGGGAAGGGAGGACTGAGGACTCTGATGGGAAGGGGTCCCTCGAGATTTTACATTTTCTAGGCTTATCAATGTTTTTATCAACGGTTTAAATGTATTTATTGTGGTACTGTCGAGGTGCAGTGACGATATATATGTGTGTACGTTTTCATGCCTTACCTTGCTGACTTTCTTCATTTTGTATCAATCTTTTTATTGGGCTAGAGTCCTAGATATTCAAAATTGTCTCCACAGGAAACTCCGTCCGACACAGGGGATTGGATTGTAAACCAGGCTGTAAACAGCTGCCCCCTTCCCCGTCATTCTGTGTAACGCAATCACTGCACACCAGCTCTGCCTTTGCACACAATACACTGTCCCGGGGGGTGTCACTATGAATACGGGGTGGAGAGCTCACAGAAAGAGCTCAGTTGTAATATACACACATTGCTTGCACAGCACAGAGGCGGCCATTTCTATGAGGATATGAAGAGGAAAGCTAACAAAAGATGTACTGTAAGTTTCTGTGTTCATATACAGCAACTGCATATGTCTGCTTCATGTAAACTCTGTGTATATTGCTGACGTGTTTTTTTTGTTGTTTTTTTTAATACCTCCACAAAAGGTGGAAATGGGCTATAAGTAGTAAGTACAGAAAAACTGGACATGTTACTTTTAGGGAGATTGAGACTTTAAAGTGAACCTGTCATAACCTAAAAAGAACCTAAGCCAACAATGCTGCTGAAATATCGGTACGTTGTAGTCCCAGCAAGTACGAGGAGCATTCAGGAAGTCCTGAGCCTTCAGTCCTCCTCAAGCCTAGAGTCTTCCTTGAGCTTTGTCGGCATTCACATCGATTTTCTGGAGGACACAGGAAGTCAGGGCCCATGAGCTTCTCACAATGTGCTTTAGGAGCTGCAGCAAGTCAGATAGATCCCAGCTTGTTTCCTGGATGGAGGACCTCCAGTCTCTTCTTGCCCAGCCTGACTGTCCCTGGCCCCGCCACTTTCAGTCAAGGAGGTTCAGAATGACATGTGGGGTTTTCCAAGGCCTTTCTAGGAACACCCCACACCTCACAACATCCCCCCATCAAGGCTTTTCATATTTGCATAACTCATCCCCTGAGCCAACCTACTGCTTGCCTCGGGACTGAGGGCTCTGAAGTGTACGGAGGCAAGGTGCTGTGATGTTTTCAGGAAGCTATGCACAGCACCCGGCTGGCTCCTCCCACTAGCCATGACTGCCTGCATTGCATAGAGAAGCACAACAACCCAGTGATGACATCACTGGGTGTACAATAATGTAATGAAAGTGGAAAGGCTTTATTTAAATGTTTCATTAGCATGTTGATGAGAAAGGAACCCGGGGAAGGTTGAACTTCGGCTTTAAAAGGTGTCCACCTGACATCACCCTTCATCACACAGGGTTCTGAGGTTCTATTGGCTCCGTATAGAACCTCCAGGCTGACGGGGTCCGTGAATCTGGACACACATTAAAAGTCCCGTTTATCATTCTCCCTGCAGATGTAGATCAGGTCAATGTCCATCCAGTCCCAGCGGAAAAGACGAGTGAAGCAGCGAGGAACCATCCCGTCCAATGAGCGGAATATCATCCCCCCGACCTTCCGTCCTCCCCTCAAGGGTCCCAGCACGCTACAGCCAGGGACACGACAGACTGTCCTCTGCAGACGTACGCTGGAGGTCATGTGACCACAGGTGACCCCCCTCCCCCCATAGGGGTCTATGATCCGGCCAGCTTAAGAGCGCTCTCTAGTTCTTGCACCTGCTGCTGTCCTTGTGTGATCATCATCCGGATGGTGATCTGAAGGGGTCAGAGGAAAGAGTGAGGCACAGCTCAGAGGAGGACAAACACAATGAAGATCATCCACGAGAATGAACTCCGAGCAGATATAAAAGACACAAATAAAGGCATCTCTGTAACCATTAATACATCAGGACATGTGTTTAATAAATACAAGCCATGCAAGTGTCTGAATGAGACATGGTATCAGCCTATTGCAGCTCCTGTACAGCAGAGCTTAGAATGGGAGAGAAGGAGCAGCACAAGGAGCCACCAGGCCTATAGGCTGATAGGAGAGAGCAGAGAGATGAGATCATTGGCTGGGAGAGAGACAAGACCTGCAAGTTTTCACTAGAGCAAAGCAAACTCTCTAGCTCAAGCTCTACCCAAGAGGACTGTGCTGTGTGGCAGAGCTGTGTAAATCTCAGGAACAGGGCGGACAGAATTACCGGCTCCCCTATAGGTTGTGTTTAGCCGTTTAGGGCTCACTTGCAGGGCCACAGACAACCCAGATTTCTGCGGGAAGCACGGCAAGGTGTCTCCCCCATCAGCTGTAGACAGGAAGTTGTACAAAGCAATGACAGGGTCAGGGAGCCATTACAGGTGTCCAGGGACTGATGAGGGGGCCCCGTAGGCAGACTGCTTGCATCCAGGGTCACTCATCTGTCCCTCACCTCAGATTAACCCCCCCCAGAGCTATGCTGTACAGCAGAGGTAGGCAAACTCCAGCCCTTTAGCTGTGGCGAAGCTACAAGTCCCATCATGCATTGCAAGACTGACAGCCACAGGCCTGACTCCCAGAGGCAGATGCATGACGGGATTTGTAGTTCCACCACAGCTGGAGGGCCGGAGTTTGCCCACCCCTGCTGTACAGGGACGGCAAGAGACCGATACAAAGTCAGACTCCAAGAGACATCTATTGTTAAGAGTTCGAACGGGCCAGCACAGTTACCTGTAACGATTCATATGTAACATCCGGAGGAATGCCGGGGATGCTCACATTTTCATTTGCCATCTGTGATACACAGTGTGTCCTTTGATCTTCAGGTGGTGCTACAGCCACTTCCTGTCTAATCATTCATATGATTCATATGCAACATCTGGAGGAATGCCAGGGATGCTCATATGTGCATTTGTAGTCCGGTGATTCAGCCACTTCCTGCATAACATCATCCATGCAATTGCTATGTAACATCCGGAGGAGTGCCGGGGATGCTCAAATTTTCATTTGTTATCCGTGATACATACAGTGTGTCCTTTGATCTACTAGGTGGTGCTACAGCCACTTCCTGTCTAACATCATCCATGTGTAACATCCGGAGGAATGCTGGGGATGCTCACATGTGCATTTGTTGTCCATGCTCCATCTCCCAGATGGTAATGCTGCCACTTCCTGTCCATCATCATCCATGTGTTACATCCACAGGAGTGCCGGGGATGCTGAAATGTTCATTTGCAGTCCACGCTCCATACAGTGTGTCCTTTGATCTTCCAGGCGGTGCTCCTTCCTGTCTTGTACAGCGAGCATAGAGAGTCGCTCCCTCGGCCCCTCCTCCGTTCAGAAAACATCTTGTATTCTTAACAGTGGATACAAGACATTCTACTATTGGACGAGGTGGAAGGGGAGGGGCAGATGATGTTACGATCTACCCTTGCCCAATCAGAGAGCACCTCGTCATCCGTTTTCTGAATGGAGTAGTGAGCGACTGTTTATGATCAATGTACGGGATGGGAAGTGGCTGTAGCACCACCCAGAAGATGACAGGACACACTGTATGGAGCATGGACTACAAATGCAAATGTGAGCATCCCCGGCATTCCTCCGGATGTTACATATGAATAATTACCGGTAACTACGCTGGCCTAATCTAACTCTAAAAAATTGATTTTTCCACTTTAAGTAGCGAAGTTTGACTTAGTGTCAGTCTCTTGCCGTCCCTGTGCAGCAAGAATAGGCCAGCTCCGACCCCCCAGCGGTGGGGAAACTACAAAGCCCATAATGCATCTGCCTCTGGGAGTCAGGCCTGTGGCTGTCAGAGTCATGCAATGCATGATGGGACTTGTAGCGGCACCACAGCTGGAGGGATGGAATTGGCCTACCCCTGCTGTACAGCATAGCTCGGGGGTGGGGGAGTAATCTGAATGAATGTTAATAGACAGAAAGTGGTTGCAGTACCTCCCGGAAGATCAGGGGCCACACTGTATGGAGCATGGACTACAAATGTGAATGTGAGCATCCCCGGCATTCCTCCGGATGTTACATATAAATCACATGGCTGATGTTAGACAGGAAGTGGCTGCAGCCCCATCTGGGAGATGGGGAAATTTGAGCATCCCCGGCATTCCTCCGGATGTTACACATGAATCATTACAGGCAACTACACTGACCCGATGTCAACATGCCCCATGCAGAGGAAGCTGTGAATGGAGGAGATGAAGTGAATAGGATGAGGCCATCATAGAACACAGGAAACCCTTCCCCCCTCACCTCATCAGTGGCCCTCTGGTTCCTGCGGAACTCTCCTCGGGCCCATTCCTTCATATAGCGCCGGTCAGCAGGGTCCGGGATCTGCCGCACACCTCGGAGGATCCGCCGGTACAAAGCAAGAACCTGCTGCCTGAGGAGGAACTGAGGACAAACATGACACACAGGGGGTTAGAGTCAGCACAGCATCCAGCATACCTGTACTGTCTGCAAGACACTAGACTAGGGCCAAATTTACACCCATGACCTCCAACCCCAAAAACTGCCCCTGCAAGCCAAATAAAATGTATGTAAACCCAACAAAAACAACAATGGCCGCCCCCTCCAAGTTCACCTGTTTGAGGCTGAGGGCAGCGGGGGGCAGTCTAGAGGACATCCTTCATAGCTCTCCCCCACCTCAGTCACACAACACGTCCTGTTCGCTAATAGTCTATATGTTGTCCTCAAAATCAGGAACCAATTTGCTGGAGATCGTCCCATAGACTCTGCTTCACGTTGGTCTTCAGAAACATGGCCGCCAAGAACGTCTCCTCTATTGAACGCGGCCGCCATTTTTATGGAGCGCACATCTAATGAAAGCGCCCGGCAAATCTCCGCCAAAATGGCTCCACTGCTGAAGACAGGTTTTAGAAGAAGGCGGAGGTGCTGTGGGTGTGCAATGCGCGCCCCCTCTGCTGGTCGGATGTGTTCACTACAAGTAACAATAATAAAGTTTTCTATGCATACGGCTGAGAGAATAATGTCACCCGTTATAGCTTTATATGGCTCAGTCACCCGGGGAACAGGGGGACCCAAAACACCCGAATACAACTCGTTCTCTGGCAATCACACACGGCCCTTGCCGCACGGGATCTCTCCGGGCATATGCATTGCGCTGTAATTATACAAAACGGCCGCCAGATGGAGACATTGTAGCGCTCATTGATGCAGCTCTGTACATTGCACAGGTTACATCATTCTGAAACTACAAATACAATCTTTATTTGATGGAGATTGATCGCTAATCGATCGATGGATCGATCGAATGATCGTGGTATCTATACACAAAAATCACAGAGCCGCGCTTCCTGCAAAATTGCATTTTTTGTGTTAATGGGGGGCAAACATTAATGATATTAGTATATTTTCTTTTCAGGTTCAGTGTAATCAAAGTAGAATTTGTTTTTGTTTTAGTTTTGTGTACAGTTAGGTTTTTTTTACCTATTTGTATCCCCTTGAGGAGATTTCCCTTTACTTCCTATTAGATAGCCACAACAGGAAGTGAAAGGAAATCCCGGGTGGTCAGCAGAGTTACCAGAACAAGTGCCAACATTGGGAGATTTCCCATCTATTCCTGTTCGGGTGACAACCCAAAATTCTGATTTTTCTTTCTTTTTACTTTCAGCCATAATGGTGACCAGGACAAATAAGGTGAATTTCCCAAATGGGGACACAGACATCAATAAAAACCTGAGAGGGGTTCCAATGGATGATGGAGTGCAAAGGTCAGGAGTAAGTAATGCAGAATGCAGAGGTCAGGAGTAAGTAATGCAGAATGCAGAGGTCAGGAGTAAGTAACACAGAATGCAGAGGTCAGGGGTAAGTAATGCAGAATGCAGAGGTCAGGAATAAGTAACACAGGATGCAGAGGTCATGAGTAAGTAACACAGGATGCAGAGGTCAGGAGTAAGTAACACAGGATGCAGAGGTCAGGGGTAAGTAACACAGGATGCAGAGGTCAGGAGTAAGTAACGCAGGATGCAGAGGTCAGGAGTAAGTAACACAGAATGCATAGGTCAGGAGTAAGTAACACAGAATGCAGAGGTCAGGGGTAAGTAATGCAGGATGCAGAGGTCAGGAGTAAGTAACACAGAATGCAGAGGTCAGGGGTAAGTAACACAGGATGCAGAGGTCAGGAGTAAGTAACACAGGATGCAGAGGTCAGGAGTAAGTAACACAGAATGCAGAGGTCAGGAGTAAGTAACACAGAATGCAGAGGTCAGGAGTAAGTAACAGAGAGTGCAGAGGTTAGTAGTCAGTAACGGACATAATGCAGAGGTCAGGAGTAATGCACAGAGTGCAGGGGTCAGTAGCATGTAACACAGAGGTCAGGAGCAACTAACACGCATCTACCCCCCAAAGACAAAAAAAATACCCCCTCCAGATACAAGCATCTACCCCCGAAAGCTAAAATCATCATCAACACAAATCCCTCCCCCTGTAAAGTTCATGCACCAGTCTCCCTTCGGCTGTGTCATGTGACATGTCTTAAAGGAGCCTGAGACTTTTGTCTGCTCTGCAATGCCTTTCACTGATCTGAGGTGTGAGCGGCAGTGTTCCCGTCACGTCTGATGGAGGGTGGGCACAGTGGGACGGAGATCCGCCCGTGACACGGCCGCCAACAACAGGTGAGTGACAATTGACCCGCTGCCATCCCCTGCATTGGGCGCTACGGCCTGCTGCTTCTAATCCTAGTGACCGAGCCTTGCAACAAAGTTTCAATTGTGATTGTAATGTCTTCCTTATATTGTAAAGCGCTACAATTAACGATTAATTACCCAATTAATCGTTAACATTTTTTATCGATTCAAATTATTTTGATCAATAATGAAAACACTCGCCTCTCCGCCGGCTTCCGGGAGTCCCATCGGAGATCCGGTGACATCACGGACATCGACGTCACAGGACTCCTCCCCCCTTCCCCAAGTGGCACCACTGGACTCCTCACCCCCTTCCCTTCGTTAGCCAACGGAGCCACTTGGGCCGGTGATCTGTCGACACTTATCGAGTTCTGCGACCGCCTGACTTCCGGTTTTCGTTACAGCTAAGAGGTTTGCCCAAGAAACTTGTTCTGCATGTATGTGCGTTATAAAGAGTCGAAATTAATCGATTGATTTTTAAAAATTTTGATTAATCGAACACAAAATTTTTAATCAGTAACAGCCCTAAACTAAACGGTTTCAATTATATATTTAACAGGCCAAAAGCGAGCAAATACGACATGTTCATTGATAGGATTTACCTACACTGTAAATAAATGCAATGTCAATTGGCCTTTCAATAATGAAATGGTTACTTCTAACAGACTATGAACAGGGCTTACAGCTTGGCCTAAATATTAAATAACCAATCAGAATCAATGGTACAATCTGATGGCAAAAAAATATTTTCTATTATAGATATTTTATACTGTATGTGCTTATTATGCATTTCTAAATGCTATGCAGACAACTTTGGAGCCAGCCTAATTACCTTGGAAGAAATATAGAGGTCAGCCAAATAAATTTCATTAGCAGGAGGAAGCCCATCGGGTCTTAAAGTGGCACTAAACTCAGGAGTTAAATCTTAAAAATGCATTCAAGTACCTTAATTATTAACAAAAATGTATCTTATCTGTCTATCACTCAGCGGTAGATCCTCAAATCATCTCTGAATTGGTGCTGACATTGTCCTTCCTTCTGGAGGGGGGCTACTTTTGTTCCCCATGGTCCCTGTGTGTGTTGTAAAGTAGTCACCGCTCCAAGCTCACTCCATAACCATTTATTTATAATTGTTTTAAATTGAGTTTAAAATAAATTAGATTTAGATTAAATTTAATTTTTAATTTTTTTTACATGTTCATATATTGTATTAGTTCATTTATGTAGCATTGCTGTACATTTAAAAAAAAAAAAAAACACACATTTTTTAATGTCTGAAGTTCATTTGAAGATGGCGGCTTTGCTGTGCTTTGTAAAATAAACTTAAATTTAGGGGAAAATAAAGAATGTAATGTATATTTTTATCAACAGCAAGGCTAGGTGTTTTAAAACCAATTCTGGTCAAACTAAGAGAAGTGTATATTTTAATTTTCTTATTTTTTATTTTTGTCTTTGGATTGCATACAGCTTGAAATCATTTTAGGGTCAATATTGTCAAAAGAAAACTTTGTTTGTCCTGAAAAAAAATGATATTTTTTCATTTAAGTACCATAAGTAATAATTTTAAAAAAATGCAGAATCAGTAGGCTGATAGCAGAAGTCTGGGACTCTATGACCACACTCATAAAAACGATTTTCTATAAATATATAAGAAAAGGACCAAACTCTCAAAACGTGATGTAAATCATATAAATATATCATATAAAATGCATCAAGTGCGCATGGCTACCTCTAAAGCTGGCTTAAAAAAATATCCTTAATTTCT